CCCCAAAACCCCAAAACCCCAAAACCCCAAAACCCCGGGTATATAAATAGTAAATGAAAGATTAAATAATAAAAATTAATAATTCTCAAACATATGAAATCATTCTCCTCTAACCAAGACATCTGGGCTGATGAAGACCAGCTTTTATCTGAAGATGAGTGTTAGCCACAAATTCCGAAGATAACCAAGCAATTTTTAAATTCTCTGAAGAGCAATAAAGGCAAGGCTAATAAAGCTGACTTTGAAATAGTAAAGGAGCATGCTTATCATTCTAAAAGATCATGTGAAAAAGAGGGCTGAAGTTTCCCTGCTCCATGTCTGCCTAAATCTCTGTTCAAATTCAGCCATCCCAGATACCCAAAATCGAAATGACAAAATTAAAGTATTTCTGGCAAACTCTTAGTCGATAATATACAATCAACTTTTGGCAATCTGAGGGCTCATTACACGTTCAAATATAATAGGGTTCCAGCCTCAGATAATAATTTGTTCCATAATAGCAAAAACATTTAGATTATTTATTTACAATAGTAAACTTATTTTCAAAGGAAATTTATTCTTGAAAAATACTTCAGAGAAGATTTTTGAAGGATTCTGATAATACAGAGAAGAAAAATCTGAAAATGATATAAAAAGGAGGAGGAAATAAGTTAACCAGAGTACTTAAGAATTTTTGTCAAAACCACCATCCATGGCTCACTAATAATTATTATCAATGCTATAAAAATATTACTCACCTAGGATCCTTCAGAAGCCTTTAATGCTGAAATTAATCAAGAATCTGAACTTCTAATAACTTTCAAATTAGAAAAATTCATAAGTCCCCATTTCCTGAGTGTAAACATATGCCTTGATTGCCTCAAAAATAGGTAGCTTTCTATTGGCTATAGCTTAATTGGCAGCCCACCTGTTGACCACAGGTGATTTAAGTAAAAAGTAATGAACCTCTGATAATTAATAAACTTACTGCAACATGAGTAAATCAGTTTCAAATTTAACTAATTCTTCAGACTTTTGAAAAATATAAATGGCCAAACTTTGTTGACTCATACTTCGTCAATTCGGAAAGAGACAGTCTCTATGTGGCCATCCCTCATCAGTTTGGGAGGCCAACATTTTGACAACCTAACAATCAGTACGACTTCTTGGCCAAAGGTCTTACTTATTATAAGTTGCTACAAATCTTGGTGAGGCTGGCCAAATAGTGGGTAAGTTGATAGCGAAAGCTTTATTTAACCCACTCTTTCATGGGTCACTCACACTAGGTTAGAGATATCCTCGCTATGTTGCTTCTTTGAGTTTGAATAATGCGAAGGAGACAAATCAAAGTGCTTACTTGAAGGCTTTAGAAAAATACCCAAAAGTTCTTAATTTTCGCAAAATTTTAGTTAGGTTTATGCTTCCAAATTTTTAAGAATTTTGCATGAAATAATTAATCAATTTTGGGAGATACAACAGCATGCTTAGTTATTTCTTCTCAAAATCTTCTTCCAAGAGGATTATAGTAGGCTCTAGGAGACATATAGATGCTTCATTAAGAGATGTCACTCTGGAGCTCCAGCCACTCATTAATTTTCTAACAAAATCTTCAAAACAGTCCTTGATAATTTTTTTAAATTTGTTGTTTATTTTCAAAAAAGTGAGTAAGTTTCTATTCAAATCGTAATAATTCGGGCTAAACTTTCTTTGACTTTCAGGTCGGTAATTTTGAGCCAAAGCTCTCTCTAGCAGCAGCTAAAAATCGTTTTCTCAATTTTTAATGAAATCTTCAAATGGCCAGCCCAAAGGTAGTAAAATTTGAAGCTTTCATATGTCTCAATGGGAAGCAATGAGGTAGCCAAACAGCCTAAAAGTGTTAGGGACTCTGTGGAGCCATCAAGGCTACGTGCACATCTTGGCTTCCTCCATCATTTAGAATACTTTCAAATAGTCTGAACTTACGGAATGTGAGGAGAGTAACTTCATTTAGTCACTCCTTTTTAATTTACTGTTGAGCAGAGTCTCATCAATCGGGCCAAACTTTCTTGACTAGTGAGTAACTTTAGCCTCCTTTGTATTGAAATAAACATTGATAGAGGCCAACTCAACCTCATCATGAGGTATGCTAAAATCTAGGAAAAGTATGAAATATTTTAAGGAATATTTCGAATTAATTAATAAGTTGTCTCTAGCTTGAAGTTTGTCAAACTAGGCTTTGAGGCTCTTGAGGATGTTACTCGAAGGGATCCTCCTCAGCTGTGCTTGTTGTATCCTGGATGAAGAGAACGGGAGAGTTCAACCCTGTATTTAGGGATTGGTCCAATCTATGAGAAAATATGCGAGAGTTTGTATTAAATTAAAAAAATTAGTTTGCTTTTCTCACATAGTTTCTTAAAAATTTATTTTTATTTAGAAGAGAACCCGTCGGTGTATAAACTTAATACTAAATTGATTTAATTTAGTAACCTCAACCATAATTTTGTCATTTCGATTTTGGGTATCTGGGATGGCTGAATTTGAACAGAGATTTAGGCAGACATGGAGCAGGGAAACTTCAGCCCTCTTTTTCACATGATCTTTTAGAATGATAAGCATGCTCCTTTACTATTTCAAAGTCAGCTTTATTAGCCTTGCCTTTATTGCTCTTCAGAGAATTTAAAAATTGCTTGGTTATCTTCGGAATTTGTGGCTAACACTCATCTTCAGATAAAAGCTGGTCTTCATCAGCCCAGATGTCTTGGTTAGAGGAGAATGATTTCATATGTTTGAGAATTATTAATTTTTATTATTTAATCTTTCATTTACTATTTATATACCCGGGGTTTTGGGGTTTTGGGGTTTTGGGGTTTTGGGG